GGCGGTGCTCATCTCCGTTTCCTGGCCGAGGGAGCCAGCGTTTGTCCGCAGGCGGTCTCCATGGTCATGTGGCCGGCATGACTAAACACCAAAGTGCACGGAGCGCTGTTACCTGCCCACGGAAGTGGTACCTTTTTATCTACCTGCATTTGCATGCTTTCAAACTGCAGGGTTAGCAGGAGCTGGGACGGAGCAATGGGAACTCACTCCGTTGTGCAGATTCGAACTGGCGACCTTTCGATCAACCAGCCCAGCAGCACAATGGTTTAAACCACTGTGCCACCTGCAGTCCCTAATTTTGGAATATTTTATTGTAATTGTTTATTTTTAGTGCTGTTGTACCTGTCATGGCATTTTTAGTGGTTAGGAATTGAGGTAATAGGGAGGCCATTGTGAGTTTTTATTGCAGATGTTCTTATGATGCTTGTTGTGATTTTATCACTGTGATATTTCTTAACTTAATATCATTTATTTGTTATTTTATAACATGCTTTGTCTCTCACACTGAGAGGGTTGGGATAGGAACCCAATAAATAAGTAGATAAAATCCAGGTGGCATCCCTCACCAGTTTCATATAGACAGGAAGTGCTCTGTGTCCCCAGCCCCAGTACACAAATTGCAGGCTGCATAACAATTAAGACTTTTCAGAACTTGGTTGGCGCCTGGGGGCTTTTGAAAGGGGGAAAAGCCACCTCACTTGGCATCGGCTGGGGGAACCGGGGGGCCTGGGGGGGCAGCTGCCCCTTCCTCATCCATCGAACTAGGATGTGTCTCCAGCCCAAATACCTCCATGGAAATTTGGAAATGCAGTAAATATCAAGTGCAGAGGGGGCTAGAGACAATACGAGTGAAGCGAGATGGACGGAATGGAGAAATTGTCTAACTCATAATGAAGGGTGAGCAGACAGAACCTTTCTGGAAATCTTGAAACTGTGAGTGGGGGAAGCGCTTTGGTTTCCCAGAAGGGGAGGAACTGGAAATTTTGGTAAAAACTGAAAAATGAGCCCTGGGGGTGGTGAGAAGTCTTAACAGATCTAAAGTCACCTTGTTGTTTCAGGACAGCCCCCTCCTACCTGGTACTCTCCATGTATTTTGGATTTCGGCTCCCGTCAGCCCCAGGCAGCATGACCCATGCTCAGGAATGCTGGCCATTGTGGTCCCAAACCATTGGAGGCTACCAGGTTGGGAAGGGCTCCTTTAGGCACATAAAGCAGCCAGGAAGACAAGCCCATTAAATTTGTAATTATTCTTTGAATATGGAATACACTTGAGTTTCATATACCAAACTTGATAACATCTTGAGGAAACCAAGAGCACATAATGTATTTTAGGTTCCTGTTTAATGACGTTAATGAAGAAATAGTTATTTGGTAATTTTATTTCTGTATCGCCCAATCGTTGAAGCTCTCTGAGCAGTTTAGATCAGAAATACCCTAATTAGAACAGAATTAGTAGAAACGCAGAACTGCATAGGACAAAACTCCAGTGGTGAAGAACATACATTTTCTTCTGTGATGTGATTTGATGAGCCTGGGGAACCAAGCATGGCTTGCAGCAACTATAATGGGCAATAAAAGATGAACCTGAACAATCATTTTAAGGAATGGAAAATATGACTATGCTTGGAATCTTACAGAGAGGATACAGGAAACATTTCCTCCATGACGTCATAAGTATTTTGATTTAAATTCTAAAAGAAAATATTTTTTCATCCCAAGCTGTTCATTTTTTCCAGTTTTTCAAAGAATAAACATTAGTGGTCCTTGGGTAGGGGAGGGTGGACAGAAAACCCCATATTTTCCCTCAAAACATTTCTGAACCTTTGCATCTTTTAGTCAGGGGAACTGAAAGACTGTTTCAGTTTTGCTTTGCTGTATTTCAGGGTTGCCTTCTCTGTTTCAGTACTCCCAGATTTTATGTGTCAGCCACTTGTAGTCTTTCTTTGTACATAAATACTATTGCAGATCACACAAAACTCCCCAGAGAGGTCCGCCTGGTGCCGTCATTATTTGCTTTTTGGCGCCAGGCGAAGACCTTTTTATTTAAAAGTTATTTTAACTGTTTATTTATTATTATTGTATTTATAGATTTTAATATATATAGCCGAGATGGTACCAGTTTTTAAATTATTAATTGTACTTTTTATGAATGTTGTGAGCCGCCCCAAGGCTTTGTTGCAATGGGGCGGCATAGAAATGTTTTAAACAAATAAATAATAAATAAAACTGAGTGGGACGGCTAACACCCTGGAAGACTGAACTTCCCTCAGTGCTGGGCTGAGAACAACAGAAGGGAATTCAGTAGGGCAGAGGCCGAGTTCTCTGCCTAGGCTAACAAAACCAAGCACATCATTACAAGATGAGGGACGCTTGGCTCAGCAGTACTGCAAGTGAGCATGATCTTGGGGTTGCTGCAGATGACAAGCTGGATCTGAGTCAGCAGCGCAATGTGGCTACGAAAAGGGTAAATCCCATTTAAGCTGCACTGAGAGAAGGATCACTTGCGGGCCCTGTGAAGTTCTAGTTCTTTACTCAGCACTGGAGTCGTGTGTCCTGCTCTGGGCACCACCATTTAAGAAGGACGCAGAGAAGCTGGGAAGGGTTTGGAGGAGGACAAGGATGATCGGGGACTGGAAGCAAAGCCCTGTGAGGAGAGATTGAAGGAACTGGGCGTTCAGAGCCTGGGTGTTTGTTGGTTTGTGTTTGCATGGGCTTGTTGCAAGTCAGAGGGCTTGGGCCTTCCCTTCTTCTGGGTGAGGTTCTTTGGCAGTGGGACAAGTGGTGCTCTTGCTCACAAGGAGACCAAATCGAAACCCAAGTGGCTGAAATGCGCAGAAAGGAAACTGGAAGCTGTAAAGCAGAAAACGAGAGTTGATCATATGAATAACTGGTGTGAGCGAGCTAAAGCAGGCGGGAAGGGGGCCGGAGTCAGGAGGAAAGCGCTTAACTCTGGAAATGACAAGCTCAGAAGAGGTGGAGTGGCAAGATGTAGCAAGGCAAGAAGGGGTTTGCCGGGAAGGGAATGTCCAGCTGAATCGGATCAATCAAGTTCTCACAAATGCTGTTCGCAGAACCTTGGCTCAAGTTTGCCCTCCAATCTCCTGGTTGCAGCTTCCGTTTGAAAGCCCTTTATCTACATTATGCACCAGCCGTTCCGTTCTGGTGCAGGTGGAGCCCATCCCTTCTTTAAAGGCCTGCCTTCTCCCCAAAAGTGCCCCATGCCCACAAAGCAGAGTCCCTTCTCTCTGCCCCACAGCAGCCTCTGCCACCCTTTGTGTTGCGCTGGCCCGGGACGTGCGACAGGGCACACTTCAGAGAAGGCCCCCCGGTGGTCCTGGATCTCAGCCCTCCACCGAGCAGCCTCAGTGTTGCTTCGGGGAACTTGCAGCTGTCCTTCCCCACATCGCTGGTGCCCACATGGGCCACGACCGGCTGATTCCCCCCCTGTAGTATCCGCAAGGATGGGGCAAGATCTGCAGCCTTCACTGTGATTGTTTGCCCAGCTCTCTGGGTGTCTCATGATCAACGCTTCCACTACCGGAAGAATAAAGAAATGAAATAAAAAGACCAAAATCCGCTAGGTGCAGCCCAGGTGAGCAAATTCTGTAATGCCAGTTGAACCCAGTTAGGAAGGTAGAGAGCGGCGGGTGTCCAGGGGCGGTGCCGTGTGTCTTAACACCTTAAGGTTTTAAATGATCTTTCTTATATTGCACTCCAGTTAGCAGGTAACAATAAAGGAGAGCTGTGAAGCTTCTCTGTTCCTTCTCGCAAGGTTTTTGGCATTTGTCAAGTGATAGGAGAGAGCAGGGAAAAATCCTCCCTTGCAGCTTCAAAGCTTAATTTTTCAGAGTCGATAAAATAATGCCCCAATATTCTGGACTTTTCGGGAGACAGACACTTTCACTTTTAGCATGCATCCAAAATCATGCTATTTATCCAAGTAGATCCTTCCAATTAGATTGGCGTTTGGAGAAAGAGCGAAGTTTCGTGACTGATCATTACCATGACCAGAAGTTCCCGCAAAGCCAAGGCTGCCGGCATGGAGCGGCGAGGAGGGTAGGCAGGCAGTAGGTGATCCTTTCCTTGCTTCCTTAACTCCTTGCCCAGTTTCTCCCTGTCTCCCTTTGGACTTCCAAAACACCTTTCCTGCTTGCAGTCTCTTCCTGCTTATTTACAGGTTGTTTGAGCTGGCATCTGGGCATACCTTGTCTCGCATCTGGAACTCCTAAATGGGGTTGCTGAAGCTCGTCAGAACCTGTGCAGCCCCCTAAGCTTCAGGCCCCCTTACTCCGCCCCATCTCTGTGCCTTTTCCAGGGACTTCCTCCCACAGCCTGCGCTATTTCTATACCATGTTTTTGGAGCCTGGGCAGGGGCAGGCCAAATTTGTCATCTCTGGCTTCCTGGACGACCAGATTTTTACTCGCTACGACAGCAACACACGGAGGCAGGAGCCTCAGGTGCCCTGGATGGAGAGGGTCACAGAGTATCATCCCAAGTACTGGGAGGAGGAAACTGAAATTGCAAGGGACAACGAAGTGTATTTCCTAGAGAGTCTGGAGATTGCAAAGTACCGCTATAACCACAGTGGCGGTGAGTGTGGGGTGAAGGTGGGAGGTGGGCAGAAGGAGGTACTGGGAGGGGGAAATGGGGGTCCCTGGCA